TCTTTTCATTATTTTTCTTCACTCCCACCATTCTATTTTTTTCTTTTCTTACCTTACCACCACTCTTTTTCCTCTCTTTTGATTGATTTTCAAGTAAAGTAATACTTTCTTTCTTTTCTTTCTCACCTATGCCACAATCAAGGATATCTCTCCTTTGCTTGTAATCTTGAGAAATTTTTAGTTGATCTTCATAGGCTTGGATGGGCCTAAGAGAATTTAGCACAACAGTCTTGCCTTTAAAAGGCACCTTGTAACAATTTCTAAAACCATCATGAGTAGCCTTACTATCAAACTGCCAAGGCCTACCTAATAACAAGTGTTCAGCAAGCATAGGGGCTACATCACATAATACATCACAAGTATAAACCCCAACAAAAAAAGTAATCAATACTTGCTTAGAAACCCTAATTTTAGCACAACTATTTAACCATTGCAATTTGTATGGCTTAGGGTGTGGAATTAAAGGTAAAGATAATTTATCTACAAGTAAAGTGCTAGCTACATTAGTGCAACTACCACCATCAATTACCATGCTACATACTTTCTCTTTGATGAAGCATCTAGTGTGAAAAATATGCTCGCGTTGCTCATGTTCATCATCCTCCTGTGGTTGAATATTGAGAGCTCTCCTTGCCACCAAGATAGAGTCAACTACACCATTACATTCAAGATCATCATTTGATTCATGGGAGGTAGAATCATCATCAACATTATCAGCATCATTTTTATCACTTTCATGCACACTATCATAGCCACCATCATCTCTCAAGATCATAACTCTTTTATTGCTACAATCTCTCGCCATGTGACCCACACCATGGCATTTAAAACACTTAATAGGAGAAGTGTTAGATGAATAAGAAGAAGGTTTAGGGTTAGAAGTTTTACCCTCATACTTGGTCCTTATTTCTTCCTTGGCTTGGGATGTATCTTTGGCTTTGGAATCCTTCCATTTGAAAATTGTCTTGGAGTCTTTCCAAGAGGACTTGGAACATTTATTCTTATTTCTCTGCTCCAACTTTATAACCTTGTGTATGAGCTCTTCCTTGTCCACAAAAGTGTACAAGTCAAGCTTATCTCTCAACTCTGGCCTCAAGCCATCCATAATTCTTGACATTACTTCACGTTCATTTTCTTGAATGTTTGCATGAAACTTCAAGATATTTAACTCGTGCACATACTCCCCCACTGTTATAGATTCTTGAGAAAACATTCTCAATTTTCTATTCAGCTCTGTGTAATAGTAGCTAGGGACATAAGCCTTTCTCAAGTACCTTTTAAGCTTCTCCCACGTTTTAATGGGCTTTTTCCTAAGTTGGCTTCTTTTGTACTGCAAATCTTGCCACCAATAAATAGCATAGTCAGTGAAATTCAAAGAAGCAGTTTTTACCTTTCTTGATTCAGACAAATCAAGAGTCATAAAGATTTAGTCCATCTTCATTTCCCAATCAAGGTATTTTTCGGGATTATTGCTACCCTTGAATGAATGATACTTTACTTTTTGGTTCGGTAAGTCAACATCATGCTTTGAGGATTTCTTTCCCTTAGGAGAAGGGGGCTCTTCATACACCTCATCATTGCTGGGGGTCTCATGCTTCTTTCCTTTAGAAGAGGAAGTCTCTGGCTCATCTTTATCCTCCTTATAGAACCTATGATCAAGTTCCAAGCGAAACTGCCGCAATTGTGTTTTAATAAGTTCTAAAACAGAGTTTGTATCAATACTAGGGGATTCATCCTTATTACTCATGTTTATAGAAGCACTAGAAACCATATAAGATAAAAATGGATCCTCACACACACAAACTCACGTGTTTACTCCTAAGATAAATAAAGTCACTCGTGTTTTACAAAAAAAATAAAAAAAATTAATGGCTTTTTTTAATGATGAAAAACACACTTGCCTTTTACCACTCACTAAGCTTGTAGATAGAATCCAATAGTGAAACCAAACACAAATCAAGAAACTAAGAAATAACTAAGTGAATATCTTCTAAATTAAGGAAACTAGAAAACAAGCACAAGATGAAAATAGGATATATTTTCTTTTTGCAATTTTCAAACAAATAGGAAAGCAAAATTTTCAAATAAAATTAAGCTTGCAAAAGGAAAAACCACATGTGACAACAAAAATAAGAAAGAAAGAAATAAAAGTCAAAGAGTCAAATACTCAAAGACAAAAATAGAAAACTAAATAAAATAGGAGAGTAGCACAAATAGCAAATAAGAGAGTAGAGAATTTGAAAAGTGCTACTAAAAATTAAAAATAAAAAAGTGATCAACGTAGAAGACTTTCTTATCACCCAAGTTGACTTTTCTCTTTAGGCAACCTCTTGGTGACTTGGAGTTCAAGAATAGCCTTTTTCTATAGTCATAACTCACAGCAATATATTTTTTTTTAATTTTCAGATTTTTTTTCTCTTTTTTTCAACACACTAACACCTTTTTTGCCTTTTTTTACATGAATTTTAGGTTTTTTTTCTCTTTTTTTTTGAGAAGACTAATAAAATGAAAACTCATATAAGATAAAAAAAAAGTCACAAAGATGAAGAAGAGAAAAACCAAAAGATAGAAGTAGATGGGGTAGATAAGAGACGATCACAAAAAGAAATAACTCAAGATGAAAAAGAAGAAGAAAGGGCAAGAATTTGAACCAAAACTAGCAACCAAAGCTCTGATGCCAATCTGATAGGGGTTGCGGAAGCAGAATCGTGCTAGTTTAGGGACAGAACCCTGACACAACAAAAACACAAGAACAAAAAGAAAGAGACGAAATTTATGACGAAAATAAAGAAAGATATGAAATAAACAATGGGATAATGATCAAGAAGAAGATCCTCTAGAGCACCTGCCTCTAGAAACCTCAACTTTCGAAGACACCACAAGAGTTGATCATGCTCTCAATCACGTCTGTTTCTCACACAGGATGCTACCACAAAGCACTAAGGCTCACAAGAGTTATAAACTCTAAAATGAATAATTTCATTCAACTTTTATTCCATTTACAAGAGGGAGCATGCCTAATTTATATAAGCTCATAGAAAAGAATATTTCCTAAAATTAAAACCCTAATTTCCTAATATTAAAAGGAGAAATAATATAAAATAATGATAAAATATTCAGCCACATAATTTAAGAGATGTGATCCTAAAATTATGGGATTGCAAAATTTAGAAATTAATACTATAATTAATTCTAACCTTTGACTAGACTCAAAATAGGAAATCAAATCAAAGGACCATTAAAATAGGAAATAATATAGGAGACAATCAAGGGATCATTAAGGATTTAAAATCACGTCACCCTTAACTTAATGACTGAAATATTAATGCTATATTGAGAGAAGGCCTTATCAATATCCCCTTGGCTTATCGAGCTCTCTTCTTAAAAGCATAACACGTGAAATTTAATTGCAATACTAGTTTGTTGATCGTGCATAAAGCTCGAGCTTATTTTCAAATGAAAAAGAAAATTTTTTTTAAAGTGAAAAGTGCATTCAATGATCTAAAACAATTACAAGAAGTCCAAATCTTCAGGCATTACACTTTCTATCATCCAAAAAGAATCTCAATATGATAATTAGAGGCAATTCTATTTGAAATAAAATAAAGCACTAAATGTGGACACTTCTCCTAATAGAGATTCAAACTTTGAGTCTAGCCTCTTTTACTAGACCAATTCCTTGTTAGTTGTATTGTAAAATTTTTTATTGTTTACAAATATCTTTCTACTAGAGACAATTTTGTTCAAGACATGAGTGCTAAATGTGCACATTTCTCTCAATAAGAATTCAAACTTTATGTTGTCACATTATGAAAGACTAATCCATTTTGTGATGTATTGTAGATTTTTTTAAGAGAATATAATATATGATACACAAAATTTCCTCACCATTCCATGCCTTAGATTGTGATACAGCACAGTGTTAGCGCATCATTAGGGATCACATATTAGTAATTTTGTTATTTTAAAACAATACAAAAATCGTGTATATGTTCTTTTTTTTTTTTCGAGGCTTGAATTCCTGCATTCTTGATTATTCGGGTCATCTCTATTTTCTCTGGTATTTGATATGTTTTGCGGTGCTTGAGCATTACTCTTGGATGTTATAGGTTTGATCATTAAAAAGTAAAAGCATAAAAGCATTGTTTTTCAACCCCTACAGAGTTAAAGGAAGTAAAGTTCCGTCTTTATAATTGTAAAATGTTTGCTTGGTTTCCTAATCTGTCCCATGTAACAACGTCTAATAAGTCTTATAATTTGACAACATTCAACGCTATTGATCTCTGACAAAAAAACAACATGCCATAGTTCAAGTCTACGATTGGGATGTAGATCAACGATAAACTGCACTTAATTGATACAATAACAGTTGTTTCTCGAAAGCATACAGATGTGAGGTTTCTGCTCGTTTTCTTTGGGTATTCTCTTATCTTTAGCATTTAAAATAAGTTAAATTTAAACCAGTTAAGGTTAATTTAAGTAGAGAGAGAACATGAGGCGCGAGTAGATGTTAGGAATCACAATTTTCTTTATATAACTAAGAATAAGTTATGTCCAGGTCATATTTCAATTGTAATTCTACATGGTATAATATAATATATAATATAATATAAAATTTCCACATAGCCTAAGCATTTTAGGAAGTTGTGGGGACTACTGAAATTTATTCAAAACTACAGCGTCCAACTTGTCAAATGCTCAAAAAGATAGGTAGCGGTTTATCAATTTCCAAGTTAAGGGGACCAACTTGAAAATTTAGATAAATTATGGGGACCAAATGTCAGCTTACCATTTTTTTTTTTTTTTTTTAAGTGAAGTCAGCCTTCACAATTTGAAATTTTTGGGGGGCCCGCCCCGCCAATCGAGACACGTGCTCGTCTGACAGGGCGAGTATCGATCTACATATAATACTCCCGTGTATGTTTCAAATTTCAACTTCCATTTTCTAAAGTAGTTTTCAAATTTCGGTGTAAAAAAAAAAAAAAAATGGTGCGTACGAGACTTTATTTGTCGTCTCATCCCTCTGTTCAGACAAAAATAGTTTTCGATCCCGCATCTTTTTTCCCTCTCTCATTTTCTCATTTCCGTGTTGGAGGGAAAATTTCTAAAAGAATTTCCTAGCACTCAAGAGACTATGAGCTCATTCCTCCATCGCTAACGGATTTATAGGGGTTTAGTTCTTCCAGGTTTGCTTCGTACGAGCTGTTTCCGTACTAATATATTTCCTTCTGATATATCTCGGATTGCTGGAAAGAGTCAGTGCGGCGTTTGGTTTGGGAGCTTCTCGCTGTTGATTTTTGTTTCAGGTAATAATTTGTTTTATGTTTGAGCTTGTTTATTTAGCCCCGGCAAGTTTCTCGAAGATATTTTTCAGAAAGTCGATTCTCTAGGGTTTCAATTCGATTGAGTTGGTTTTAAGTTTTGCCGCGGTCTGTACTTCTGTTGGGTGCTGTCCTGGCTATTGATACCCTTACAACGATGTTATTTGATTAATTTGGTGTGATCCGGGATTTTGGATTTCTCAGCTCGTAATTTCGAGATAATTTGATTTAGGGTATAGAGTCCTACTAACTGGATGATTATTCGTTTAATATGATGACAGTGTGAATATATAATGTATTTACTATTGTTGCTTTGGAACAAATTTTGAGCTTGACCATGGTTTTTATTAATCTTCTGTCCTGCATGTTTGAGTAATTTGAATACTAAGGCAAACTCGAGGCTTAATTTGATTTGTTTCTCTACGATTTATATGTTCTGCTTTTGTTCTTATGGGCAATGATTGTGATCTCTTGCATGTCAATGAACTGATTGTCTTTAAAACAAAGAAATCAGAATTTTATATTCATTTCTTGCAAATACGAGCATGTCTCAAGTTTTTATCAAGCCAGGATTCCGGCAACATTATGCGTGTTCTTCTCGAATTAAATATTTCTTCCTTTATGTAAAAGTGTCTTGCTTGCTTAATTTAGTGAGTCCCAGTAAAGTCTTGCAGATGTGGAGCCTGCTGCACTGACAGTTGTATTGTTTTAAATATTCAATATTCCTCTATAGTATTTACTTCTTAGCTATAGCTTAAGTTGTCTCCCCTTAGCAGTGATCCTCAACCATTTCTCTTGATGCATGCTATTGCTATGTTGGAAGCAAGATACTTGTTCAGGGACTTTATTTTCTGCTTTGCTTACTCGTGCAACATCTTCACAGTGCAGACATGCAAACAAAGAAGAAAGCTTCTGGGAGAAATGGTAGTCATGAGCGTGTTAGTCCGAGGATTTCAAGAGCACAGCAGAAGGTTTCTGAAAGTGGGCAAGAAGTAGAGAAGAATGTTACTGACCTAATTACATCTTCAAATAGAAAGAAGAAGCCTAGTAAGTTACTAGTTACTTGCCAATTTCTGTTTTGGTTTGAAAGTAGTCTAATAACATTATCTGTTTAATTTTATCTATTGTATCTTTTATATCTTGTTATTATACCATGTTACGATGTATGACTCATAATGAGGTTACTCCTTCCATAATTAATCTGAACTATGCTGGTAAATTTTTTCGTAAAGTGCTGTCAGTGGACTGAATTAATCAATTAATCATTTTTCCATTATTATTGGAATGATTAATGATTGATGATTAATTATTTATCGGAAAACTGCTCATTTGTTAGATAAGCTATAAATTAAAATGACATCTCTTCAGACAATAAGAGATTAATGGCCAATAAAGATGATTTTATTTTTATTTGCTGTATCTCTCAGTCAGTACTCTTAAGAAGAAAGGTGCTGAACCAATTCCTTCTACAGATTTGAGGAATAAGTATGACTTGGTAGATCATGACACTACCAATGCTTGTTTGGCAAATGATGCAGTTGATGGAGCTTCATTAGATTTCTTGGTAAGTTAATTTCACAATCTTGTCATGTTTCTGTCTGGGATCTTCTTTGCTAAGTTTCTCTTTTGCATGAAAGCCCTTTATTGATATTTTGTACAATTGCCTGAAGACACAGTCCCCTTACAAACTTGTTCTTTATGATGTAGTGAATATCTGAACATTCCTGCATATGATTAGCATGTTAGATACAAGTGCTTTCCATAAGGAAAAATTATCATTATATAAAAATTATTCTGGTCTGAAATGATGCTCTAGGGTTGTGACAAGCAAGCCAGGCATTTGGAGTCTGGAACTATATTTTCTCCCGGCTTTCATGCATCAAGAGGTTGTGGAGGAAAAGTAGTTGATAGAGGTAAATGACTATGGTTTGGTTTTCATAATTTTTTGTACTGACTTCTTTTTTCTGGTTGACTATGTAATCTTAATAATTCAATTATGATATTTTCTAAAAATTTTCATTGATCATTTTCTTTGTTTCTCTCTAGTTGATTTTGTCAAAATTTTTCAGAATGGGGACCAGAAAAGTATCTCCACAGATGAAAAAATAGATTCACCTCAGATGGATGCTGTAGATGGTCTCATTAATAAAGAATCTTCTGATGCAATGGAAGTAGACATGAATGATCCATCCAACTACAACACACTGATTTGTGGTGATCAGATGCGAGGCACAGAAGATAACAGTGGTTGTAGTTCTGAAATTGATGGAAATGGAGAAGTTTCTGCTACTCATCTATCTGTTAAGAACTCAAAGCTCGAATGTGTCGATGAGCATGGTCAGGACTCCATATCTTCCGATCTTTGCCCAGAGGATGATGAGTTTTCTGATTTTGATGAATTCAATCCTTACTTATTCATAAAGACCCTACCTGATTTGTCATCAGTGGTTCCGACTTTCAGACCACTGTTACTACCCAAGCAGACACGAAGTTGCCCGCCTACCACTCTTGTCCTGGACTTGGATGGTAAGAAAATGAAATAACATGCCTATTTTAAGTTTCCTGCATAAAAAAAACCAATTACACAAAAAATAAAAGATTTATTTTTTTATTTGAATTTTGAAATCTTAGTGTTAATGAATCTCCTTCAGTGTTGATTGCTCACAGTTCCTGATTAATTTTTAGTCTCATTGTCCTGCATTACAGTCTCTTTTTCTAGGTCTTAATCTGTGACTAGGTATTTGTGTTTTGAATTTTGTTAACATCAACTGCCATTTTCTTAAAAGAATTTAACTATCGTTTTACCCCTTGATGGTTTATGAATATTTTTGGCCTGGCTTAAGAAAAATTGCTTTCATTCCTTCCTATGATGACCTTCGATGGTCAATAAATATTTAGTTAGGTAAACTAATTTTTCTTCTCCTTTTTGATTATAGAACAATAATTATCATGTCAAGCTATGGGTTGAACTGCTGTCTTTTGTACTTTGCATGGTGATTGTGGTTTTTTTGTTGGCAGAAACTTTGGTGCATTCTACCCTTGAATCATGTGAAGATGCAGACTTCACATTTCCTGTTAATTTTAATTTTGAAGAGCATACTGTCTATGTCCGCTGTCGTCCCCACCTTAAAGACTTCCTAGAGAGAGTTTCCAGCCTGTTTGAGATTATAATATTTACAGCTAGTCAAAGTATATATGCTGAGCAACTTCTAAACGTGCTTGATCCAAAGAGGAAGATTTTTCGCCATCGTGTTTACCGTGAGTCCTGTGTTTATGTGGATGGAAATTACCTCAAGGATTTGACAATTCTTGGCCGTGACTTGGCACGTGTTATAATAGTTGACAATTCCCCGCAGGTATGGTAACAGTGTTTCTGCCGTCTTGTCTGTGAGATCATTTCTTTAGTCATTATAGGTGATTGTTACTTTTATGCTCAAATTAGAGTTTTGGTTGTAAAATTTAGCTGAAACCTTTTGACCCTAATTTTGTCACACAACACTTAGTTATAATTTACAAGATTGCCAATCACCTGCTTCAATTTTGGCAAATGACTCCATGTAGTTTTTGTTCTTGAGAAGCTACTCTCGTCCAAACTTCACAAGTTACAAAACTGCTAAGCATACAGTTGTTCAGGGCGGGGTTATGTGCCAAAATTGAAGAGGATTACTTGGTTGAGCTAATTAACAAGTACCGAGGGTCATCTGACATCACTTGACACACTGTTAATACATCGCATTCGTGAACATCCATGTGCAAGGGCCTAAGGGATATTCTATGGCTAGATTTCTCAAGAAATCTAGAGAGTCCAATATTAATAATTAGATCTGCTGTTAACTTGCCCCTCTTCAGGCGTTTGGGTTTCAGGTGGATAATGGCATACCAATCGAGAGTTGGTTTGATGATCGTTCAGATCAAGAATTGATTTTGTTACTTCCGTTTTTGGAGAGCTTGGTTGATGTTGATGATGTTCGTCCACTAATTGCAGAAAAGTTTAACCTACGGCAGAAAATTGCTGCTGCTGTGCATCCTTCTTTAAATTCCAATAGAGATCTCATATCGAGCCTTCAGTATTCATCATGGGTTGTACAATACTGAGACTTGAGAAAACGATGGCTTCTTTCCTAGTTGTAACATTCTTAAATAATGACGTTAACAACACTGCAACAGCATCCTGTAATGACATGCTGCCCTCCAAATATTGGGGGTGCTTTCCTGCTTGGTTGTTTATTGGCTTGCCATATAAATTTCCCAAATATTTTACATATTTATGCTCTTAGGCCTTAAGGATTCTATTAGAAATATTGGAATAAGCACAACCCCCAACCCCCCCCCCCCAACAAAAAAAGGGTACATGTGTTGTGATATATTGTAAAGTTCTATTGAAAGAAGTTATGTAGCTGTCGAGGAAGAGGCTAAACCACAATGATCCTTGAGAAATAGGTGAGGGCACCTAATTCAAAGGACACAATGCCTTTTTAGTTGATCCTCTGGCCCAATCTACAGCTTTATTAATTTCTCTAAGGACTAGAGCGTGGGTAACTGATATGTAATTGTAATATAGGAACTATCGGGATTGAGGGTTGTGAAAGTTAGTTTTTTCTTTGTAGTTAGTAGCCGTTAGGAAGTGGTGGGTAGGAACTTCTAAGTGTGTGTTTCGTTTTAAATTTGTCAAAGTTTATTTATAAAAGTTCATTTGGTAAAAATTAATTTAGTAAAAATTAATTATTATAATAAAATGTATTTAATATATTTTTTTTAAAAATCAGCTTAATGCATTAAAAGTTATTTGGATTGTGGTAGTAAAATATGCTTTTAAATGTATAATTATAAAAAAGAATATTAATTTATGATGATTTATAATTTTTAATTTTACAAATGTAATATATTTGAAATAATTAAAAAATGTGATAAAAATTTTAAATAACATAAAATTTGATCTATAATGCTAACAACTTAATCTCTAATTATTTATACTTTTTTAATTTGTGATTTTAAAAAATGTGATAAAGATTTGTAATTTTTATTACACATTAATGTTAAAAATTAACATAATTACTTATTCAATTTATAATGTTAAAAAACTTAATATCTAATTATTGTTGTTGTTGTTGAAATGATAATTATATTTTTAATGAATTAACTATTTTTTAAATAAAAAATAAGAGATTAAACTTAAGATAATATAGTAAAATAATATTACATTTTTCAAATTCACTTTTTAAAAATTTTATTATTTTAAGTTGGTCAAAAGCACATTTAATAATATCTAAAAAGAATTTTTTAAATAAATTTTTTAAAAAAGATTGAAAACCAAACAACATCTAACTTTTAAAAAGTAAAAAAGTATCTTTTAAATGTTAAAAGTTATAAAATCAAAAAGATCCTGAACAGTGTTACTTGTAAATTCATGACATGAATGGAATGAAATTATTCAACTCATTATTCAGCTTACTCTCCTCTATTCCTCCAATCCACTTCTACCCTCTCTTTCTTCCCTTGTCTCTCTTACCGAATTGCGAACATTCATTTGTAAGATGCTTCTACCCTTGGCTTGGATGCGAGCCTAAAGCCTACCAAAGCCCTGAAGGAGGAAGAAGCTCAGCACCGTCAACCCCAAAGATCTAAGTTGTAAGAAGTGAGACTGAATAAACGCGTGTATTGGTAATTGGTGATGGAGAATCACTCACACGTGACACCACCTATCGACAACTTTTTATTTTTGGTGGGTACTCATAAAATCACCAAAAAGGAATGCTCTTTGGACTACGAGTTTTTGTTGGGGGAAGGAAACTCATACAATCAATTGAGAGTATGCTTAAAAGAAAATAATTGTTTTATATGGTCTTACAATTTAGTGACATGCAAGCCTTTCTATAAGTGGGAGATTGTAGATTTAAATTACAACAAATTACTCAAAAATTATAGATAATGATCTAAAATATTGCAAAAAAAAAACTTTTTTGGTCTTTTATATAATTTTTGAAGGCCTTTTCAGTTCTTGTCTAGTCAATTAATAGTAAAAATTAATCTTTATTAATAACAAGAGTTAGGTAGCACTATTTTTAAAAATTTAAAAATTAATTTATATAATAAATAAGTTTAAAGTTTATAGTATTATTAAATTTAAAATTTAAAGAGTAACTTGCTTATTTACTCATTTGATAAAGACAAAGTTGAACATCTAATAGATTTTTAGAGAAAATTATTGAATTCAAAGATTTTTCTTGATTAGTTACATTAGAAGTGACTCGTCGGAGGGAGTATTTCTTCCATTCTATTCATAAGACAATATTTATAACAAGTCACTTCAAACACCGAACAAGAGAATAATAAGAAAAATATTAAATACTTCTCAAATTTCGTAATTTATCTTATAAATAGGGAAAAAAAATCACCTAAAATTTTGTCAAATTAACAGAAACGGATCGAGTAATTTACGTGAGGATAGAACATGCTACCTTTTTCATCTTATTGTTCGGTGACGCTGACGATGTGATAATGTGTATGACATAAAAAAATAATTCCGTAAGCATAAAAAGGCATATGTAAATTACGCATATATATATATATATATATATATATATCACTTTCCACACCAATTATTCAAATGCATGAACCATTTGTGCTCAAAGATCCCATTTAACTTTTCGAAAACAAACCAGATGATCTTCTGGTCAAATAAATAAATTAACCAGACGTGGCATTTGAAAAAAAAAAAAAAAAACAGATGATAGAACCTGCGATTCTCTGATCACTTGGCGCCAAGCCAACTCACCAAAATGCGTGACCAACAGACCCTGTTCGAGTTCGGCTTGCGCTCTCTGCCTCGCTGTTATCACCTGTGGCACGAATTACTTGCAACTCGCCATCATGTTTAGCCTATAAATAACAGCCTAGCCAGCAGCTACTTCGTCTCCCTATCCCGCCATATTCCATTCAAAATCTTTCACGCTTCGTGCAAATTCTGAATTCTTCTTCCATCGTTTTTATTTTTTTATTTTTTTCCAGCTCTTGAATTTCTCCTTAACAGCCGAAACCATGGTGATAGCAGAAGCCTCTTTGGATATATTGTTCTTTCAATATGATCCTCTCGTGTCTTCTGAATTTCCATGTCATTCTTTCAGGTCGTCGCACAGAAAGTCAAGGAAGCTGAAATCACCGAGCAGGATTCGCTTCTTCTTGTAATCATCGATCATCTTAGTTTCATTAGTAATTCGTATTTTGTACTTTTTAATCCGAGTTTCCTGCACAAATGATTTTGAAAGTCTCTCTCTGTGTGTGCTCTTCCTGCTTTGATTTTTTATGGATTTAATTTATTTCTTCAAGTGAATTTGGATTTCTTAGCAGAATTGAGTTACAGACATTATAATGTATTCCTTCTGCTATCAAGTTCTAGTTTAATCTGAGGGATCTCATTTGCTGCCACGATTATCCTAGTTACCAAAGATCTTCGGTTTAGTCAAATGTAGATGTTGGACGGAATCTGAAACCAATTGTTCGTGATCCATAATTTTAATCGTAGTTTCTCTAAATATTTATTAAAATATTACTCTCTGTAAAGCAGAGCTGGTTTGAAGTTTGAACGGTTGGCTCTCGCTTTCCTCTACGGTTTCCTTATTCTGAGTCTCATTAGGACTGGAATTCTTGATAACAAGAATTTTGAGTGGATTGCATCGGATATTTACTAATCTGAAATTCATTTGACAGACGAGGAACTTGCTCCGAATTGCCATATTTAATATCAGTTACATCAGAGGCCTATTTCCTGAGAAGTATTTCAACGATAAGTCGGTCCCAGCTCTTGGTACAGTCTATCTTTAGTAGCCCATCCATTTTCCTATGATTTCAACAGAGTCCTCCGATATTTGTTGGTTGATTTCATAAAATTTCTTACAAAAACGACAGAGATGAAGATAAAAAAGCTGATGCCATTGGATGCAGAATCTCGCCGACTTATTGATTGGATGGAGAAAGGCTCGTTTATTTTTATCTGGTTTAATATTTTCGATTCGATTTTCGACTTGTTTTGAATTAGAAGCTATCTGTTCTCTTTTATGTAAATTGCAGGAGTATACGATGCTTTACAGAAGAAGTACTTGAAGACACTTTTCTTTTGTGTGTGTGAGACAGTTGATGGACCGATGATTGAGGAATACGCATGTAAGGCTTCGACGGTCTAATTATAACCGACTTTAGTGGGATAACTTCGCTCAATGCTAACGGCACAATGTGAATTCCTGTTTCTTCTCTTATATTTAATTTCCTGCTGTAGTTTCCTTCAGCTATTCGGGTTCTGACAAACAAGAGGTCTCAATGAATGTCAATCGCACTGGAAACAAGAAGCAGGGTGGGACGTTCAATAGTAACAGTACCACAGAAATTACTCCCCAGCAGATGAGGTTATTTTCAAAATAGAATTTACTTTAGATCCGACATGGACTTATTTCGAAACATGGTAATGGATATTATTTGTGGCATGATGGCATCTTCAGGAGTTCTGCATGCAAAATGATTCGAACACTTGTTCAGTTGATGAGAACTCTGGACAAAATGCCCGATGAGGTAAATAAGTTCAGACGCTTTGCTTGATACAGACATATTTTAACACTTCATTCTTCCCCTTTACTGTGCAAAAAGTCTGAGATATTGTCTTTTATTCTGTCCTCAGCGTACCATATTGATGAAGCTCATCTACTATGATGATGTGACGGTATGCTTCTGATCATGGAGCTCATGTCAGTTCTTTAATATGCTTGCCGACCTTTTCAGCATGTGACTTGAAGAAATTTCTAGAATACAAATTCGACTTTGGTGGTTGTTTAACTTTTGGAATATTTAACGAGATTGTGATAAAAAGGCCAGATGCTTTGTTATATACCATTCACAATTTTCTATTCTTGCAGCCTGCAGATTATGAACCTCCATTCTTCAGGTGTTGTACAGAAGAAGAAGCTCGCTGTCCATGGACAAAAAATCCATTGAAAATGGAGGTTGGGAGTGTAAACAGCAAGCATTTTGTGTTAGCTCTCAAGGTAAGGAAAGATCGTGGCCACAGCTTCTTTTAAAATATCCATTTTTCTTCTTTCCGATGAGGGTTTCTTTTTTACCTATACAGGTAAAGAGTGTTCTAGATCCTTGTGAGGATCAGAATGAGCAAATGCAAGATGATGAGATGAGCTCTGGGGCTGATTCCACACAGAGGGATGAGCATTTTGATTCTGACAGTGAGGTAAGTAAGGATGGTGCTTGATATAAAACATCCTTATAAATTCTACCTGACTGAAATGAGCCATTAAAGCGACCAAGTTCCTAAAATTGTGTAATTATACAATTTTCAGGTCGACCATACTCAAGGGGATAGATATATAGTTGCCCCAATAGGTAAGTGCTGTTCAGGCCGTGTTTTTCATTTCATTTACTCAACTCCAATTTAATAAGTAAACGAGTTTGTATCTATTACGGCAGAAAAACAACCACAGGCAATTGATGGCATGGATGACCAAGGTAAACTTGGCATTTTAAACATATTTGAATTAAACTATCCTTCCTACCTACCTTATATATATCTGTTTCTATCAGGCATGTTAATATGTGCGTATATACAACCCAGAGGATGTATGTGTTTGTCAATTGTTTTTTGGTGTGTACGTGTATAGGGATCAATTTATATAGTATGTTTTCTTTAACACACAGATAGTTTAACGAATAACTGGACTTTAGAACTCTTTGAATATCTCATAATCTTCTATATGTTTACGCAGACAATACACAGGATTCTATAGAAGATGGGAGACAATTAGACCGGGTGAAGGAGTGGATTCTTTATAGCCACCTTGACATTGTTGAGCTTACTGACGTTCTAGCAAATTTTCCTGACATATCAGTGGTATTTTTTTTTTCCTTTTAATTTTCTGATCTTTACAGCATTTGTCTATTTTTTTTTTTATATCCTTTACAACATTTGTCTAAGATAATTGGTTTTGGTCATTTGTATTTTGTGCTTCAAGTCTTGCAATTTCATTTTATGCAATTTTTTACTTTTTTTCTCATTTTATGTCGGATACAATCTGATTTTGGATTTTTGACCCTGGCAGGTTTTAATTGAAGGTATAAGACTTAACCATCGCATTAGAGCGGTGCGATAAATTCCATTGCTTGACTACCAATGTTGTTATGGTGATTAATTTTGATGGGTTATTCAGAGATAATGGATAAGCTCGTCAAGGAAGGCGTGCTGTCAGCAACGGGAAAGGATACCTACGCCATTAACAGGCAAAAGGTGGACTTTTGCTCTTTATTTTGGAAGTTCCTTCTTTCTCATTATTTTTTAATTTGGCCTGACAAAAACTCCCTCTCAGAAATCTGATGAATATGAATTCTCAACCGTGAAAGAAGAAGCTGATGATCAAACTATTCAAGTCATTGATGAAGTTCCCCAGGTTGAAGATAGCCTTTACATGAAGGTGAGTTTTACTTCATTCACAGAAATCTTGGCGGACTTTTTCCATAAATATATTATTACCTTTAGTTGCTATACTACATGCAAATAGTGCTCAAAGATATTATAGTAGTATACTTGTAAGTCAGTACGGATTTTGAACTTGACTCAGACTCAAAAACAACTGCAGTGAACAAAGCATAGTAGACGTAATACTGCATTCAAGTCTGATTTTTTTTTTTAATAATTCGCAATAAAATTAAAATTTAATATTTTTTAAGGCTCTATTCGTGTGGTGAATAATGAAGCAATAGAGTCTATAGTTTGTAATTATTTGTTAAATAAATCTCTTGCGGGTTTTCATTAAATGTTGAACATAATGTGTGTGTGTGTGTTGTAACAACTATAGAATATATCAGCTAACTCAGGTGTCAAAATCTCAGGCTCTCTATCATGCTCTACCGATGACCTATGTGTCAGTCGCAAAGCTTCAAAGCAAGCTTGAGGGAGAAGTAAACCAGACAGCCGTGCGGAAGATAATTCATAAAATGACTCAGGAAGGTTTTATTGAACCAAAAGGCAGCAGAAGATTGGGTAGCAAATAAACGATCTAAGAAAAATCCTTTATCTTTTCCTCACTTATTTCCTGCATTTTTAATAAACATGTCGTAAATCAGGGAAACGCGTGATCCATTCTGAGTTAACTCAGAGGAAGTTGATGGAAGTCCAGAAGGCTCTAATGGGCACTACTATTGAAGCTATGGTATGACTACAGAGTTTGTTGAGTATATATATTTGCCTTTTATTTGAATGCATGTCTACCTCTCGTGTATTTGAATTTTCTCAGGAAATAGATCACAGTGAACCAAATAGTAAGTCCAGGGCTATTAATTTCCAAGCAAATGGTAATTATAAATGAATAACAAATTCTGCAGCTTTTTGGTGTTGTAGCACTTGGGAGTTTAATTTCCTTTCATTTTAACCAGGGAATCACAACAGAGAGGGATCCACATGTGGTGTCCTCCACTCTATTGGATCAGATCTAACGAGGATGAGAGTTAAATCAGACATGAACCAAACTGACTCCACCAGGAGTGGGCAGAATAAGGTGAGAGCGTTGGGGAACACACCCACAAGCAGGGTTGAGGCAAGTTACACACATTAAGCTTCCACTGTTCAATATTGTGGTACATACTTCATGTAGTCATTCTCTATATGTTTGCATATAGAGAGTTAAATCAGACATAAACCAAACTGACAAGTACTATTTTTTCCCCATTTTACCCCGGGAATCACACAGCCCGTAGCTTCTAGAGAGAGTTTTGCTCCAGGTAAAGAGAACAGCATGGCAAACGAACGTTCAACTATAAACCAGTGTAACGAAGTTGAGACTCTTCTCTGCAGTAATAACTCTCAGGACAAGCGATCCAGGAAAACAAGCACGGTAATCTTCAGCTTCCTCTTTGGGTATTTAAAGTAGGGCATGTTTAAATTGTAGTCTCAAACGTTTTGCGGTTTTAGAATTCTCGCTCCTCTCCCTTCTTTTGCAGGTCAAGGAGGCTATCCATCAGTATTTTAAGCGCCAGAGATCTCAAGTTCAGTGAACCTGCATTCATCCCCCATCCCTCCACTAGTTTGTTTCGATCGGAATGCAAATTTAAGTCCGGACTTCTTTTGGTCCCACACCATAAACAATATCTCATGATAGTTGACTATTTACACGTCTCTTATAGGCAGTGACAGCGTCAAAACAAACTTAATGTACTACAGAATTACGGTTCAAGGTCAGATTCTTGCGTGTCTATTGCTGATATTTTGGCTTTACATTATCATGGTCGCCGATAGATGCGAGCTATAAGAAGCATTTCATCGTTCGTCTAAACTCTAAAGGACTTTTGGTGAAGATCTTGTTCCAGAATGTAACAGATTTCTTGCATATATCAGTGATTAGCTTGGAGTTATGCGGTTAATGTCATTTTCGGGGTTATAAAACAAAAGACGGCCTATCTAATGTTCCTTTAATCATGATGTATGTTTATAAATGCTTATCATCACGACGTTTCCTTCCTTGCTCTGGTTCTTTATGTGGAAATATATAGAAACATCATAGACCAAGGGACTGCTTTCCACGGTCAAATTGAATATATAACTTCATTAAGTTTTAACTTCATTGGAAGCTTAATTAATTATACTCAAATAATTAATACTTTAGGTTTCTAAGATTGCTTAAGTTGTTTTTGTTTTAACGTTCAGTTATCAATTTACCTTTCTGTTTAGTGTTTAATATATATTTCTTTAACTTCAAAAATAAAATCGTTTCACAGTAATAAAATATTGGAGTTTGACATCACATTAAAGACAAAATTATAACCGAGTTTGAAACTTGTAAACCACTGTCATCTCATGTTATTCTTTGCTACTGTAATCATTTTCTTAAAACTTTAACATTAGTATGTTAAAGTAAAATAATTTAAAATTATTTTATTAAAATATACTTTTTATCTTCTAACCTTATATAAAATTTTAATTTTAGTCACTTAATTTTTTAAAGTATAGTTTTAATCCTCTAATTCTAACACTATTAGTTTTAAATTATTATTTATTGTTCCAATTATTATTATTTTACAAAATAAACTTAATATATTAACATTTGATTATGTTAAGGGACCAAAATAAAATTTCATATAAAGTTAAAGGATTAAAACTATACTTTAACTAAATTATTTTTATGAAATAGAATATTATATGTTATTAAATAAAAAAATTATTATGACTAAATCATAAAAAATATAATAAAACTTACATATCATCAGTGAAAAATAAAAAATAATTTTTTAAGAAAATATAAAAATAATATGATGGAAAGATTATAAAATACTATTAATATTTTCAAATTTTCAAAAATTAAAATACTCTTTAATTGAATAATGTCTTGGGGACTAATCGTATTGTCTCTAATTTTTTTGACCCTAGAATTTGTTTGTCTCTAATTGAAGTTCTTAACAACTGATTATAATAATAATGCCCTTTTTTGGTTATGGCAAAAAGAACAAAATACAAATATTCCATTGGCGAGAGACTGAGAGTGAGACCCTAACATTTCACAACCTGCGATCTTCCAATTTTGTCCTCTCTCAGCAGAAGAGGGTTCTCAGCGTCCGAATTTAGATACGTCTAAGAAAGTGCCACGTGTCATCCGAGGCCACTTATTTCGAGCCAAAAGCCTAAAAAGATCCCTCGGGCTTCTACGCAGGCCCCACGCTAACAATAACCGCCAACGATTCCGTTATCAGACTCTTGAAATGATTTTACACCTGAGAGACCTATATAATGCGAATCAAGCTTCTTCTACGCCGTGTAAAAGAGAAGTACTCTGCAACTCTCGGAGTTAGAAAACACTGTTGAAATCTCTGTGACTAGCAGTTTCAACACAAGAATCAATGGCTTCCAATTCCAAGACGGTTTGCAATTATCTAGCTCGTTTTTCTTCTTCATCTTGGAGTTTTCCTTAGCAAAATTTTTTTAGTTCTTTCTCTTGTCCGAGATTATATATAATCACTGTCAAGTTTTGTCTTCATGTCTTGCAGTCCGAGATTGTATGTGAGGGTCCAGAACTGAGGCGCCTCGGATTCATGAGGTCTATTGCCATTGGAGTTTTTATCTGTGCTTCGAATCTCTATGATTACGCCAAGCAGAACCATGGCCTTTTGACGTTCCCCGCTCGAATAGTGGAGGTCCCTGCGAGGATCGTTCTCGGTCCTGTCTGCAACAGATTTAGAAACTTGACCGATGATCTCTTGGTTATCGCTGACACTCTGGTATTTTACTTTTGTATATCTCTCTCAGTTCTCTGGATCTTCTTGTTCTAATTCTTGGATACAGCAATAATAAAGGTGGCTCGGAGAAAACGTTTTGTGATCTTGGATTCTTGATATCGTCCATAATCTATCCTTTCTTGGATACAAACTTGTGTTCTGTTCGTACAGTTGGTAAACTTCTTTTCTTGTTAGTCATACGATCTGGTTGAAGAAGAGGAAATCCAGGATACTAATTTACGGTTTGTAATTAATTAATTAATCATGCATTGTTGTTATTGGCTACTGCTTAAACTTAAATGTCATTTTAAGTTGCATTTCTTGAATATCTTTCATCTTGATATCAGCTCAAGATATATATCTCTTGAGTAACTATGCAAGTTATTCTACTTCATGGACTGAACTGGCAATAAATGTGCCAAACTCGGACTGTGCGGCTTCCAGTGTTTGGTCATGATTAAATCGTTTTAAGGGGCCTCTCCTCGCATTTCACGACCTTAATTTTTATATTAGGCGTTTAAATTGAAATAGAATTATCATGGAAATGTTCACTCTCAGTTCAACAGCTACCACAGTCGCTTTCCATATATACGTCTGTATCCAGAGAGAGAATTCAATCAAAAAAAAAAATGGTTGACGGAATAACATGTATCCTTAATCCATATATACGTCTGTTCTGTACCACAACCCCCCCCCAACACACACACACACACACACACACACACAATTCGATTAAGAAAATACGGTTGACAGAATAACATGTAGCCTTAATTGGTTTGGCTCTCAAATTTATATTTTGATTGATTATTTGAATTATCCTTTTCAATGTCAGTTAATTCATCATTTATACCTGGTACAGGTGGATGAAGCAGATCGCACAATCAATGCATATGCTCCTACTTCTGTTAAGCGGCTTGTCAGGCGAGTCAAGGTTGTGGCGAATAAAGTGATAGATAAGGCAGTGGCAGCTGCGAATGAGGCTCGAACTGGAGGGCCGGGGGCTGCTGCACGTTATGCTGCTGAAGAGTCGAAGAAATGTCTGCTGAAAACCACAGCAAAGTTATGGGTTTATTTCAGCAAGTATCTCGTAATTCGAGCACTTGCCTACTTGTTGCTTCCTGGAGCTGCTTACTTTTCCAACAAGTACAACGATTGCATCAGGTACACGACTGGAAGGGGTTATCCTTTTGTGGGGTATCTACCTGCTATCCCCCTTAATGAGCTAACTAAGGCAGTTAATCTGGAATCACGCAAGTACTATCTACGTATACCTCCTGCTTCTATTGATATACCAGAATCGTCCCGCTCCCACTCTGACTGAGTTACTAGTTTTGTGGGTTTCCACATTGGGAATCTGTGTGTGGAAACAACTGATTTGATCTGAGACTCGGTAATCTTTGATGTGAGACTTAGCATTCTTTTATTTGAGACTGAATTTTTCATTTGGTAGTTCTGCGTGACAAGAATTGTTGAGTTGTGTATAGAGATTGCGTTGATGATGTGAATGCGTCACGAAGGCTTCGTTCTTTCGGGTCAACTTTCGTCTTTCTCGCGTGTTAGATAGATTGTTTCCCTGCAATATGTGACCATTAGAATTAGGCCAACTCGATATGAATGCGTCCTTCCATAGGATAAATTCCAATTTCCCGGGGAAAAATTCTCAAAAGCCAAGGCGAAGTTACAATTAAATGGTCAAGTTACTTGAAACAATTTAGCATTGACCAAAGTTTACAAAACCCACATCCTAGCCTTTTTTGCTTTCAGTATTGTAATGATCTTATCACTGTCAAAAATGCGCCGAATCGTATAATACTAGATCCATCTTAATGTTTTCTCGTTGAAGATGTTTTAGAAGCTTCATACTCAACAATCCCATGAACATAAAAGAACGAAGCGTGTTCTTGTCGCAATAAAACCATAGCAAATGTTGAGCACCCTGAACCCAAACCTTCATGTTCATTTTTGGTGCTTCTTTCACAGATAGAAAACCACTAAAGCCAGAAAAGAACTCGTAATTGGCAGTACAGGATGCTCTCGTCTTAAAAAAGGAGACATGCCATTGCGTCTTCTACTGTTGCTCAGCATAAATAAATATGTCTATGGCATAATATTGTCCGGCCAGTGCTTATCACCCCATTTGGGAAACTATCACATTCAGTTTATATACTTTTTTCTTTTTTTAACTAATTCTCACTTTTGAACATGGTTGATAAAAATATTTCAAGCAAACAAAAATCACCCAGCGCCGCACTTCCTGGTTGACAAATCTAAAAGCCTCAACATAACCCATGCATCACTGAAATTGTACCCTAGGCTTCATGTATACAAGCGCTGCCAATATATAATGATGACCTTATCAAAACATCGGTAAGACTGCTCAGATAGCTTTGTCACTCAACATTAGCTCAGGCGGATAAAACTTGAACACAAGTTACACACCATCATAACTCAGTTGGATCATGTATAGGCTACGCAGATAGCAAGATGATTAGTCAGAAGGCTTTATCAAAGAAAGTACATTCGCTTTAGATTTGTCAATATAGTCACAGTAGCATGAAACCTTTTATTTGAATTAAGTGTAAAGAGGTGCAAGTCAGTTGAAACCTCTACAACAATACGGGAAATTAACAGCACAAACGAATACAGATCATATCCCACTTTCTTCTTCTGAAAATTTGCGACAAATTCAACACTCCTGCATTAAATAAAGAACAGGCAAAAATAAGGCATGAGACAACTGCAGATCAAAAAGTTGTTCAACTAGTCACTTCAGAGAAACCTCTTCCATTTGAATCGAAAGTAACATGCCCTAACACCAACATGGACACAAAACGTGGATGTGATAGGACATGGCAACATGGCAAGATTGTTGGATACATATCCGATACAACATAGTTCGCTTTTTTCAGTCTTCACATAACACATCAATTAGCCAACCACACATCATATATCTTAACAGATGCACGAGCATTACCACATTGAGAGACAAAATACTGGCTCCAATCCAGACTCAAGGTAATTAAACTCATATTTCTAGCAACTAGTAGCAACTGTCAAATCACAAAACATTTTAGACTCCCTGCTTCCAAAAATCAAGTAGAGCGGGGGGAAATGACAGCCAGCAATTCACCAAGAATGTGGAAAATGGAAAAGCTTTGTTTCTATTTGACCATTTCTATCATTTGATATCAAGCTGCACCGATACACACAACTGCATTAACAGATGCATAAATTTAACAATTTTAGCAGAAACAAGTCACAACTTCAGAAACCTGATCGGAAGCCATGCAAGATTACTTTTGCCATGTCGTTTGTTTGTGAGGGAATTACTCTGCATATCCTAATTTTTCAAGTTCAGGACAACCGATAACAAATTTGAACCTAACTTTTAGCGTGAATCATCATCGCACTATTTAGAATGTATACAACACATAAGTTTTTTATTTTTTTCTCATATCAAAACATCTTATTCTTATAAATATTTTTCCAATCGCTTTGGTGATAAAATTTCCCGTTTAATCTTGAAATGCTAGTGAATGCCAACAAGACAATGTCTGAATTACTGCAAATGGAAAAGGATAGACATCGGCCATGTAACTTTATTCAACTTCTCTCTCAACTCCAACCACCAGATAATCATCCTATATTTGCAACAATGGCTATGATCAACATAAATCATCAATCAAACTAGAAAATGCCAAGAAAAAGGCAAAATCGACAGATATGTCAGTGGTATGCAGGTGTAGATTGAGAAACAATACCTCATTTAGATGAACCGCTGTTTCGCTGGAGGACGTCATCATAAGGATCCCTCCGACCAGGAGTCTGACTAATTTGAGCATCCCAAGCGAGCTGAGAATTATGGCGCTCGAATGTCCAAAACCCATAAGGTCTCAGAGGATAGCTCCACATCTCCTTTGTCTTCTTGCACCTATCCTTCACTGAATAAACGTGTTCCCTGAATTTGCGATCCCTTTCCTTCGGATCTTCCATCATTTTGAGAATCAAATTCTCAGCGAACTCCATTATGAACCCCATCTTATCTTCCACTGTCACAGATCGCAACTCAAAACTCAAAATTCCCCAATTTCTATGCTCACAATGTAAAGCAAGCTCGATGAACGCAGAACAAACACCGACTATCGAACTCGGTCATCAATGAAAAACACAAGCTGCCATGATTTCACAAAACATAAATGCCACGTCCGATTTTTTTTTTTTTTTCAACTTATATAATGTCCGAGGGTTCAAGTTCAACGTAATATCGGAATGAAGATCCAGAAATAAAATTTTAGGTGAAAGGTAAGAGAACGAAAAATTCAGCATAGAGGAACGACCAAACAAGAAGTGAATACATCAAAGATTTTACCTGATCCGCACCTCGAAGCTCAAGAATTGGCAGGTCGACAACTCGGACACTGGGAGCAATACTTGATAGATCATTCGTGAATTTCAGGAGCAAATAACCCAGGGCCCTCACGATAACCTTATTGGGCCGGGTCTTGAAACTTATTGGGCCCTTTGCCCAGTGCTTTTATTGGGCTAACCTTGACGTGGTGTATGCTTTGGGCTTTGATTTCATCAACGCCTCTTACATCCCACATCGTCCCTAATACTGGGCCATAAAGAGGACATCCACTCAAAAGAAAACGACAATCCCCTATACATACTAGATACTATTAGAAAAATTGCTGGAATAAAAAAACAAATAGAAAAACTAAAAAGTGACAAGTACAAGGGACAGTAATGATTTAAGATTTGATTCCAACATCAAATATACCAAACATAAAGAAACGTGCTCATTCTTTTCCATGTCACTTCCAACATCACAAGTGACATGCCATAATTTCTTGGTTCTTAATATTAAGTGGTGTAATTGGATTTTCATAATTTTCTGGCCAAAATGTGTAATATTCAAAATTTTAATTTATCTGCAATTCACTCCCTCAAGTCCTTAGCTGCCATGCCCTTCTTTATGAGGATTCAACCTCATGTTGCAAAAGCGCATAGGTCATTTTTCGAATTTTTTTTTTCTTTCTAAATTGGTCGCTGATAAGTTTAAAGCTTTTGCAATTTCATATTAGAAAATTTGAGCTTTTAAGAAATTGCTATAATTTTATTAAAAGTTGATTATAAGAAAACAAAAGGTTGTACCGAAACAATACATTACGGTGACAGATTGAGAACCTTGCCTCACAAGTAAGTAAGAAAAGGAGCTTCAGTAAACAAAATTTGAAAATATTAAGTTAATAAACTTTAGAAATCATAATTAATTTCAAATACCAAAGTTATGTCTAGGGTTCAAAATTTTTAGGCCTTTGAATAAAATCAATGTTTAAAAATAATTCTATCAAAATTTAAGAGTAATTTTTTTGACATTCTTATAAAAACATTTTTCAATTATAACAATCAAGTCAATTTTAAAAATAACTATATTTTTAAATATCTTTTGGTATAAAATTTACAACATGCAGGCTCAGTGTGATTTTTCCCAATAAAAAAAAGGTGGTATCGCAGTATCATATATTTGTAAAATTAGATGGTAACTTAATTAAGGTATGAGATCGAAAGTGATGATTTAAAATGGTAACCCTTCAATCACATCAAAGATTTTCAACACATCAAATCTCTCAATTTCCCTCCTCTTTTGCTTCAAAGCATCAAAGAAGCAAACATATGCATATAGGTATATCTCATCAACAAGAACAAAACAAAGGGTAAAGAATAAAGTAAAAAAGAAGAACAAGAAAAGAAAAAGAAAGATGCCCAAACTCAAAAGACACAACCAAAAAGGAAAAACATCAAACATTTGAAATTGCAAAGGAAAAAAAAAGTAGTTACAATGTAATAAGTAAGGTTGTCATCACAGCTGGACTCATCCATCTAATGAAGCAACTTTGTTTGTAATACATAAAAATTTCTACCTACCATTTCTGTTTCTCTTAGTATATATTTACTTCACAATTAATTCTTTTCATTCAATTCTTGTTTCTTCTCTTCAAGTCTGTTTGTGTTTAAATGCTCAAACTCATTTAATACGCTTCCATCTCCTAAATGACACCATTTCTGGTTCACCCAATTCAACCAAATAAGGCAAAATGAATAAGTATGTGTCAGTCACAACTGGACTCCTGATAGTGGGCCAGACACTAATGGGCCTGGACCACAATTCATAAATATCCTCCCCTCTCTGACTTTCAATTTTCTACTAAAAATAATATTTTTTTCATACATGCTAAAAATAATAATTAATTCTGTGTTTTTGTAATAAAATATTTTAGGCTGGGTGGATCCAAATTCAAAAAATTTCAGGACCGTTTTTTCATGGATTAGAGAACACAAATATACAATTATTACAAAAATTCATTTTGTGGACTTTACATGACAATATAGAAATAATAGGAATATTTTATTTTTCCTTTGTGTATCAAATCCAGGCATGGTTTCTATTTTTTATTTTTTATTTTTTATTTTGTATTTAGGATTAAGGCATTGGATATCTGTGTCACACATCCACATTCCACTTGCAATTTGCAAATTGCTGGTCTCTCCCACTAATTTTTTTCCTTTTACTTTATTTTTGTTATTGGCTATGGTCCCTTACAGGTCAATCTTTAATATATTTATGATGCTTTTTTTTGTTTGGGGGGGGGGGGATGAATTTCTGATGCTTTTTGACCACAAAAAAGCAGTGCAAAAGTTGGAAGCAGGTTTCAGATGGACCAAAAAAAGAGGAAACAGATAATAATTAGTGTCAGAGCCAGGTACTAATATTGCCTCTCACTCACCATATTTGTTTCTGGTGAATCCGGATTCAAAGTCTACATTTTTTTTTCCCTCATCCTTCTTTTTCCAACCTTTTTCTCATCACTTTTAGAAAATGAATGAAATTCTATAATATAATCTGCAAAAATAAATCCAAATCTAGCCCCCGAAAAGAGAAAAACGTTAAACTGAAGTAATCGCATATGACGATATCACTATCATTTATGATTCAAAATGGAGTCGCATGCCAAGAAATAATTCCACCTGAGTGGTTCACTGTGACTTGCATTTATTTCATCTTCATTTCCGATATTAAAATTAATCAATTCCTCAACCAGTCATGAATTTACAATCTTTTTTCCTTTTTTGTTATTGCGTTGTTAAATAATATTCCTAAGACATTGAATTGGATCCTCAGGTTGTCTTCCAAGCAATTGTCCAATTGAGGCAACCCGGCATCATGAGATGCAGAGATACGCGCTAGATTTATTTAGTTATTTACCATACACTAATCTATTCATATTTTTTGATGAATATAATGGATTTTATTTATTTTTGAAAAATATATCCAGATTTTATTTATTATTCTAATATAACTTCTTGATGATTGATAGGTCCAAGTCGAAAATTAAAATGCAACCCGAACTTCGGCTTGGTCGTAGAAAAAGAACAAGAATTGACAAAATTTGTAATCTTAATTAACTACATTTAAGACTGACAGTTGCTGTATTGTACAAAAAAGGTAAAACATGAGCAATAAGAGCTGTTTTTTGTTTTCAGGGACCATCTAACCTATACAAGAAAAGGTGAGGAAGTAAAAACGGTGCCGTTTGAGGACCGACCATAATAAAAATGATTAATCACCATATAATTACCATAATCCGCACCTAAAAAAAAATGGCTCCAAATCCTGCAAAACGATGCCGTCATCACTTCCATTACCGTCGTCGCCGAAACTATTCTACAGCCTCTCTTTAACTATCGACGGCCATCAAGCCGTCTCCGTTTAGACCGCCGTCAACCTGTTCGCCGGCGGCATCGTCGCCATCCTCATCAGCCCATCTTTCCAATGGCACGCACTCAGCCTTGTGCCGGAACTTCCAATCCAGCGCCTGACAAGCGCGAGAGCAGTAATTCACCGTCCCACACACCGAACACCTACGAAATTCATGCTTCCTCGTTTCTGGCCGGCCACAACCCACGTGTGAGCATAACCGAAGGCCCGAACCCGGCGACCCGCCCCGCTCTCTGAACCACTCTGTCATGAACCGGTTGGCGGGGTGGGACTCCGGCGCGGGCACGTTGCATCCAAAATCGCTGAGAAGCGGGCAGCCTGACCCGGTTAGTTGCCGGAGAAACGGATGAGGATGCGGGTGCGGGACAGGGTGGCGGTTCCAGGTGAGCATAGGGATGCCAGAGTTAGCCGCCGCCGGAGATGACAAAACGGCGGCGAGCTCTCTCGCATTAGCTTGCACGAGAAATCGCCGTCCCTCGGCGATGTTTTGCCGAACCCCATATCCGTCTTGCAGGCAGTGGCCGAGTTCACGCAGAGCGTCGATATGGCCCAGGAAGGCGGCGCGTGCACAGAGAGCCACACCGGCTCTGAGGTCTTTATCATTCTTCGTCCCGCCGCTGCCGTTGAACTGGACAACGGCCAGGGAATACAGAGCCTGAGCGTGGGAGTTAATCGCCGCCTTGGCCATCAGCGACGCTCCACTTCCTCTGTTCTCTAAACAGTAGAATCGAATCTGTACAGACAAAAAAACCCCCCAATTCAACCACCTTATTCACAATTACCGGATTGAAAAAATAAACAACATATTTCAAAGACGATTTTTTTCCCAAAAAAAAAATACTAACCATGCCCAGGATATAACAGGCCTCAACATTTCCGGCATCGGCACACTGTTTCAGAAACCGGTGAGCCGAGTCGGACCAGCTTTTGGCTTTAACAGCCAATCCTTTCGGCGAAACTCTGGATAAAACCTGAGATTGGAGGCTTAAACCATGGAATCTCTTACACCTGAACCCAAAAAATCAAACATGTGAGACGCCAACCCAGCAGAATCAGGATCAAAACAACAATTCTGAAATCCATAGAGACACGCACGTGACCAAAACACTGACGAAATCGGAGGGGCACGTCGCCGTAGAGCTGAGTTTGGAGAGGATGGAAAGCACAAGGTCATCGGGCAGAGACTCAAAAAAATCGCATCCTCCTCCACCAGCCACCACGTTTTCTGGTGACTTCTTCAATCTTTTTCTGCTAACAAAAACCGATTGTTGTTCCTCATCGGAACGCATCCTCAGAGGAGCCACTCGAGGATAACAAAGCCCCCTCCTGGTTCTCATAATCCCTAGAAACTCCTCTATCCCTATCTTGTCTCACTCTCTTGTGAGAGATTAATAGAAGATAAAAGGAGAGTGAGAAGTATATATACAGCAACGACAGAGAGACAGGGTTAAAAGGAAGTCGTTTTGTTGATTTACAAAACTAACCCGAGCGGAGTGGTTGATGTCGTTTTGAGGAGTGAAACGGCGTTGACCGAGTGACCTAACAATTGAAACTAAATGTGAGTTTGTTGTGAACCATTTTTCTTCATCTCTCTCAGGTTAATGACCACGTAACGCGGTTATCGGATGGCGCGTGGTGTGTTTCCATTCCAGGCACTTCCTGCAACTCCCAACGGTCAAACGGATGGTTCAGTTACACTGATTTGTTACTTCGTTTTACTCCGAAAATCCTAATTTTTATTTATTTATTTTCTTTGTTTTCCCTCTTTAGGCTTTAAAATTTAGACGCGGCATTGATTATTGTTCAGTAAGCATTTCTTTTTCACCCTTTTGGAAAACGAACTTCGAGAAAATTGCTTTTACTCAAAAGGCAAGAATAAAGTCTGAACTCGGGGGTGGACAATGAAAAATTCTTATCAGCTAACCCACCGTTTTGTTCTGTGTCATTAGAAAAGAAAGTGTGTGAGACAATCAGATTTTTTAAATTTCTTTCGTTTGCTTTTAAATCGTAAATATCAATAAAATTTTATTTCTATACGAATAATATTATTCAATCTCATCTGTAAATTTTATATTTAGAAAGGTAAATTTTTGTACTTATTTTCTGATTAAATTTGCTCAGAACAAAGTAGGAGAATATTTATCATTTAATTAATCCTCATTTTTTTTATTTAAAGGTAGTGTATGATAATAACAAGACTCCTATTTAATTATTTTTATAAATTTTGTTAATTCTTGTTCTCAACTGTAATTCAAAAAAAATCGTGAGTATCAATATTAATTTCAACCCATAAGATATTTACAAAATATTCTATGGGAGAAATTATGAATGATACCACTAATTTGTTAATTTTTGTGTAATGTACAAAGATCAAGTTTTAATTAGTTACACAATCATAAAATTAGTGCAAATCAGACCCTTAATATTTTATATGCTACTCTCCAATAATTAATATTGTTTTCAATTTAATTTGTTCTATCTTTCTTAATTAATTAAAAAAATTACGTCAAATAACTAATACATCTGTAAGACTATTACACAATTCTAGTCCAAATTAACATCAATCCATGCATATTTTGTCATAATTCTTGTCGTGCGTGTATATTTTGTTTGAATTCATGCTAATTCACTCGTGTCAACAATGATTCTGACATGTTTAGCGTTAAGGTTATCAAGTTTAATTCTTTCAAAAAAAAAAAAAAAACTTGAACACGACATTACAATTTATACTTACTTGAGAACTTGAGAATTGAATCATTACATTTTTTTTCTTCAAACAAGTTTGCATGATGTTTTACATAATCATAACATTAAAAATAGCATAATTAAGCCAACCTGTCAATATGTCATTCCTTACTATGTAACCAATCTTTTTGCAAATTAATTTGTCTCATTTCTTCCCCCAAAATCTTAAATGGTAACAATTGTTTTTTTTTTTTTAATATTAGGCTCGTTTGTAATTCCATGCTTTCTCATAATCCTCGTCAATCCCTACACTTTTTAGTTTTTATCCTACTTGATGCAAGTCCATGCATGTTTTAATTTGCTATAATTCATGTAGATCCTTCGTGTTAACAATGACTCTAAAATGTTTTTTATTTACTAAGCAAACAATCTTATAACTAAACTAACTAGTGTCAACTTAATTACTAAATAATAAGAATTTCTTTTTTTGAATATTTAACTCATCCGTTACACCATGTTTTGTCATGATCAACGTCAATAATACATGCACTTTTTGTCATAATTCAAGTCAATCTTTGCCCATTTTATCATATTTCATTCTTCAAATATTTAGTTCATCCGTTACATTACGCTTTGTCGTAATTAACGTCAATACATGCTTTTTTTTATGTCATAATTCAAGTCAATGCATTTATTTTGTCACATTTCATTCCAATACATTCATGTAGAATCTAGAGATATACTTTAATTATAGAGAATCTTCAAGATCAAATTCACCTAAATTTTTGAATTTATTAAAAAAGAATTATCTAATTTAGGCTAATTTTGAGACCTAGGAGCCATAAATTGTACTCACTCATTGAAATTGTACGCTGCAATTTCATTTAACTTAATGCATTTTTCTTTGCATTTAACTCATGTGAACCCATGCGAGTCATAAAAAATCAATTTTATTTTGATTATTGTCTAATTTGTCACTGCTTCTAACATGTTCATCATCTTCAAAATCACTATACTTCCAATCCTACTTAAAAGAATTTTATTAGGGAGTTTTCCATGATCATACATAAGACGTTTACGAAATTTACAAAGCATTTATTTATTGATTTTCTTTTTCAAATATGGCATTCATTATCATAACCATCTTACTCATATTTAGAAGTAGTGTGTGTAACTTTGGAATAGAACTTAAAAACTTTGTAATAGATATAATTTTGGAATATCATGACAAATTTTCATAAAATCAAGAACAATAATTAATTTTAACTATTTTTCTTAATTCATGTGATTTGATTTAAAAGTTTTTTAAAATTTTATCATATATGTAATATTATCTTCACTTCTTCAGGCTCTTTTAACACTTGAGCACATCATCATCAACAAGATTGTTATACCATATTTTTTCATAATTTATGATTGTCATGTACATTATTTTCTCGTAATTCACATCAATCCATGTTGGTTTTATTGTAAATTCCTGTTAATCGATGCAATGCACGAGGAATCGAGTTTGTTCTGCATCATGTTTTATTCAATCATATATCTAACAAGTTCAATGTAATAATCATCAACTTTAATTAAATTTTTTCAAGACTACTTACACGCGTAATCACAATTAGTCAATTATTCATTGCTCGAGGCTGATTGATCACAATTGGTATACACATTTTCTCCATTTATAATTTACCAAATTCTCCCGTAACAACACGGTCTCAATTTGTTTGTTTTTTTTTTTAACTTATGGATAAATGACAGTATTTCTTTTTAAGGTCACCGCAAAATACATCGCATTGAAATCATTTTACTATTTAACAGATTACGAATTTCCACACCACTACATCAAAAAAACAAACTATGTCAACGTCTTTATTGAGGGATCGAAACTTTTCCTGGTTCCAAAATCCTGTTGCAAATCATCACCGTTTATTTTTCCAAGTTGAATCCAACGGCTATAGCTCTGCCTGCCTCTTTCTTGACAGCGACACGTCTAAAAAAAATAGGGAGTGGAGACAGCATTTTGCAGGCATCAAATCTTTATTATTTTTAAAAAGCAAGGCCTTGAACTTGACTCAGTTGGCGACTGAGTTTTAATTAAGTCATTTTAATTAATTTACACCTCATAATAAGTTAGTCAATAATTATATTAATGTGTTGATATGTATATATAATTAAATAAAATTAAATTAGCTTTTAAATTGATTTAATTTTTATCAATCCAATATTTTATGCTGTGTTTTGTTTGTCTGTATCTTAAAGTTTCTGTATTTTTTTTACTTATTTAATTACACTTTGTTTATTATTTTATATAATTATCATTAATGTTTTCTAATCCATGTCAACCGATTTTAATAATATTATCGTTACCCCTCTTTAAAAAATAAAGAACAAATTAATATTTGAGATAAATTTAAAAAATTAAAATAATTAAAATTTAATTTGAAGGATCAGATTAATAATTAAAATAAATTTAAGAGGAAGTAAATTTGGGAAATTAAAAAATAAGGGGAAAAATTAATTATAATCTTGACCTAGTTAAAATTGAGTCGCTAACTGACTCAAGTTCAAGGCCGAAATATTAAAATGAATTTTGAAAATTATAATTATTTTTAAAAAAATAATTAAGATTTGACACCTGCAAAATGTTGTCTCCACTGCCTAATTTTTTCAGATATGTCGCTATCAAGAAAGGAACAGGCAGGAGCAGTAGCCCTTGGATTGAATGGGGGAAAAAATGAACGGTGATGATTTGAACCAGGCTCATCACCAGGATTTTGGAACTAGGATAGGTTCTGATCCCTTTTATTGAAGCTTTTGCATATGAACTGTTTTGAAAGCATTCTTCCAAGTTTTTTTATAACAATATTTTTTATTATATTATATATATTTATAAATCTTGTAATTCAAGAGATGAGTCCTCTGACTTTGAAGAACTCTAAATTCAATTGAATCCGGCGGGTAAAAGATACTCCTAGATATGCTCATGCACTAGATATGCTCGTGCGCTCAAATTCAAAGGATCCATTTTTAGGTTGTTGTTATTATTATTATTATAGTTGTTTTATCAAAGATGATTACAATTTAAGATCTCCTCATTATCATATAAAAAATAAAGGAAACGTGCTATTTTAATAATTGATTATTTTGGACAATGCTTAAAGCTATAAGTGCATGCATTATAGACCATAAAGAACAGCTATTAGAAAATTTTGACTAAATATTCATGAACATAAATTTAGTTGTACACGACAAACTACAATGATGATACCAGAGAATATTATCTCAACTTATCCAAACTTGGGGGTATCAGCGAATCTCATATTAAGCAGAGTTATTTTATTTAAAAAGTTTATAGTCATTGATTTAAAATTTTAAAATTATAATTTTTGAGGATAAAATTATTACTCCCTTCATTAAAAAATGTAAGGCATTTTTAATCGAATCTCACCCTCAATAAAATAGTTATCTACTTTTTAACTAACCCTATCTTTCTATATTTACTTTTATTAAACACCTTACAATAAATATAAAGTTATTATCAGTAGGGGCACTTTTAAAAAAAGGCAATGATTACACCTCAAAAAATTGAAAATACTTTATATTTTTTAACATCTAACTCTTCAAAAAATACCTTATATTCTATAATAGAGGAAGTATCATGTTTAAAGATATTATTATTATTTTAATATTTGAAATATTCACTATTCT